CGTCTTGTTCTATTAGGCAAGCCTGAGTGACATATGGAAGGGAAAGATCATCAGTAGTGAAGTTCACAGTTCTTTTGGACAAGAATCATTTGGCGAAAACAATTTGGGTTTGTTATTCTGGCTTTTAGTTGTTTTACTTCCGTCTTTCAGATCTTGCACAACTTTGAAGATGCTTGTTTGATCTTGGACTTTTTGGATGTTACTCCAGTGGAACATGACATCCTTCCTTCAGGGGAGACAACAGAGGCAGAGGATGCATTGGTTGGGGTAATGAATGATAACAATGGTGCTGTGCATGACAATGCTACAGGTAGGAGCATATAGATGCTAACTTGTGTCTTTAATCTTCAAGCATTTTCAGAAGAGGTTTTTTGAGCTTGCAGTTCAAACGACTGATATTGCAGGGTTACTCGCCAATGGCGGTGCCAGGGGTGCTTCAAGTTCCCCGGGATTGAATCCAGTGGCATCTAAAACTAATGGATATGGCACCGGTCCTGAAATGGTTAGCTCTGCTTTTGCTAGATCTTCCGTGTTGGATGAAAGGGAATACAGTACTTCTTTTGATGCCAGATGCAAACTTCCGGATGATTCGGGCTCCCTCTTCGTTCCTGCTTCTCTTGAGCAAGATTATACACGCAAGATACAGCAACCAGACGATGATATGGAGGGCAAATACTTGGAAAAGGCTACCCCACCTGAGGAGATGATGTTGTTCTATATTGATCCGCAGGGGGATATTCAGGGTCCGTTCCCTGATTCTGACGTTATTTTATGGTTTGGACAAGGTTTTTTTGGGCCCGACCTACAAGTCCGCTTGGCAGATGCTCCAGAAAAAACTCCTTTCCGAGATTTGGGCGAGTTCTTGCCATACTTGATTGTAAAGGGTGCTCATGCTAAGTGTAGTGATCCGAAGGATAGGCTAGAAGAGACTGGTCTAGAAGTAAATCTGGAGCCCGGTTTATCAGCTGCCCCTGCAGCTGAAACTACTGACAAATTGCCAGTAAACAATCTGTCTCATTCGTTTTCTGGGTTTAATGATGTCTCTGCTGAGAATAGCTTTCAGAGAAAGTCTGAGCCAGAAGTTTATGGAAAACTACCACAGGCTGAGGACAGAAGTGTTCTTGACTTCTCTACCCAAGATGAAGGTTTGTTATACTTCTAACCAATGTCTACACTATGTGTGATTCTAGATCTTTGTTGAGATGCTAATATTCCTTTGGGTGTGTGTGTATACTGTGTATTGCTTGTAAGTACCTGTTTCTGTTATGTATATATTGTGCATCCATGTGTCTAATATCATCTTGGATTTCGTACTTCTGTATACTAAGCTTTTGTGCTTTGTCATCATGTCTTTTGTATGTTATGGCTAAAGATTATTTTGTTTTTCTTTGGTTAGAAATTGTGTTCCCAGGACGAACGGGAGGTACTAGCTATGCAAATATTCATGATACTTCGGCCAGTACTGTTGGGCATCCTACCATTCCCATTGAATCAGCTGAGGCTGCTGTTCGGAATCAGAACGAGAATAAGTTGCATCCATTTGGTGTGTTATGGTCTGAGCTTGAGAGCACAAATGCTTCAGTCAGCCAGTTACCAAACAGGCCATATGGTGCAATGGCTGAGCCTGCAGGTGTAATGGAGTCTTGGTCCAATACTTCCTGGAAAAATACTCGTATAGAGCCCAACATGTCCTTGGATGCTCTGGCTGCTAGCCGTATGTCGCAGTTAGAACAGGAAGCAAAACGTTTTGATCTTGTGGATTCGTTTACGTCAAATCAGCACCACCAACAGCCGTTCCAAAATCGGAATATGTTGCCACAAGCACACCTAAGTGAACCAGATCGAATTCATGGCCAGAATCTAGTTCACCGTCAGCAGTTTCCTGACAATCATGTCCAGGATTTAGAGCATATGTTAACTCTCCAGTTACAGCAGCAGCAGCAGAAGATTCAGATGCATCAGCATCAGCATCAGCTGCAACAGCAACAGCAACAGCAACAGCTCCAACAGGAGCATCAGTTACATCAGAAACTGTTACAAGAGCAACAACAACAATCTCATGCTCGTCAACTTCTTCTCCAGCAGTTTATGCAAGGACAAACTCCCGATCCAAGGTTTGGGCATTCACATGTTGATTTCCCCCGAGCCAACAATGTTATCGATCAGATTTTGTTAGAGCAGCAAATTCTGCATGGTATGCAGCAAGGTCCTGGTCATCCTTCCCGACATTTTGGGCCATCCATTGAGCAACTTGCCGCAGTAAACTTTGGGCAATTGCCACAAGAAGACCATCAAAGAGAGCTGCTTGAACATCTGCTTTCAACAAAACTGCAGTCTCATCAACATGATCAACTGAGGGCTTTGGAGTATCAGATGCTGCAGCAAGAGCAGCTGATGCAATCTTCAAAAGGAACGAGGCACAATTCTTTTTTGGAGGAACAGAGACACATTGATCCTCTTTGGCCTTCTGATCAAGGTGATCAACTTCTCAGAACTCATTCTGGGTTGCACCGATCGCACTCTTCTGGGATCAGGCCATTAGATTATCAGCAGCAGCAACAGAGGCCACCATTCGAGGAGCATTTGGGTCAGCTTGATCGGAATCTTTCATTGCAGGAAAACATTCGACAAGGATTATTCGAGCAGGGCTCTCTTCCATTTGAGCGAGCGGCATCCTTACCTGTAAACGCATCAGGACTGAATCTAGATGCTGTTAATGCTCTTAGGCTTGCTCATGGTCTGGAGATGCGGGATCCTACTGCCCACATGCAAGCTGCAGGTGGTTTGGGAAGATTTACCCCGGGTTTCCACCTTCAGAATCCTCATAATCCTTTAGCTCAGTCACATGTATCACAGCTGGAATCAATGGGAGGACGCTGGGCTGAAGCTGACACACAGCTAACAGGTGATTGGGCAGAATCTCAATTTAGGAGATTGCATATTGATGCTGAGCAACAAAAATTGAGGTCGGAAGTTGGGAGGGCGAGCGAAGACCCTAACTCATGGATGTCAGAGGGATCTACCGAAGACAAGTCAAAGCGCCTTTTGATGGACTTGCTCCACCAGAGACCAGACCATCAGTCTACCGACTTGCCAGACATGAACCGTAGAGACTCATATGATAGAATGGCTCCTTCTGGCCTTCTCACGGGATCAAGCTCATCGGTCCATCCTTTCGGTGGTCTTTCAGACCATGAATCAAGTCTGAATTTTTCATCTGCTATGGGGAGTCATCATGCTTTTCCCGATGAACAGTTAAACAGGCTGCAGAGGGATGGGGATTATCTGATGAGGTCGGAATTGGGATCCATGCATCGTAGTAATTCCTTACGTTCTGTAAATATGGACGGTGGTCAGTCAACTCATAGTGATTCTCGAGGGTTTGATATGTTTGGTATGAACAAGGATTCGAATGATATGAGAGGTTGGAACAACGTGTTGAGGAACGAGGGAATGGGAAGGATGAGATATGACAGTCAAGACGGAATGGGCAGGCAAGCGGGATTCGACCCTTTGGGTCAAGGAGAGCTTCCAGCAGGTGAGTGGTGATTATTTCTTTTTACAGCTTCTGTTTCTTAAAAAGCTTTCAATTGTTTTCGATGCTTTGGTTCAAGGGGATCTCCGCCTTGTGTTTTAATATAAGAGGCTCTCATACAGAGTGATACTTTCATGGTGACAGGTCCATACGGAGACAGAGCTGGCATACATAACTTGATGGGAGAAGATAGAAGAAAGGATCGGTAAGTTTGGATTCTTGCAGTTCGGAATTTGATGAAACCTTCGGGTTTAGCCCCGAGTTACTAGTAGTGTGTATTTTTACTCGACTCGTTTTACCGAGGGGTGTGTGTGTGTGTGTGGTGTAGAGTGGTAGTTCCATCGCACGGTCATAACGCGGTGTTGCTGAAAAGGCCACCGTCGTCCCATTCGTCGTCGTCGCACGAAGGGACATCTGAAACAGCAGCAGCAGCAGCAAACCGGGCAGCGATATCGTCGGGCAGTGGTGGCATGGAAGGAGGTATCAAGCAGGAGATGACTAGGGAGGCGGCAGGGTCGTCGTCGTTCAGCGACATGTTGAAGAGTAACGTGAAGAATCCTTTGGCCGAGCAGAATCCGTCGGAGGTGGGGGCCAAAGGAGGAGGAGGGAAGAAGAAAGGGAAGAAGGGGAGGCAGATCGATCCGTCTCTCCTCGGCTTCAAAGTCTCCAGCAATCGCATCCTGATGGGCGACATTCACCGGCCCGATGACTGATGGTTTCCCTTTCTGCTCCCTTGTTGTAAATCTCTTCTTGTGCTTTTGCTTGAAATCTTTTCTTGTAAATCTCTTTTTATTCCAGTGAGGTTTTGGTTTCTTCTTCTACTCTCAGTCTTCTCTGTTTATACATCACACCACACCCTTCGGAATTGGAGAGATCCGGCGACCTGGATTCCTTATCTTCCTCGTTTTCCTCCAGACGACAAACCCAGGAACCAAACACCATGCCCTCTGCGCTGTCTCTGGTTGTGTGTGTGATCTTTTTCAGTGGCTGCTTCCTTTCGGGTTTCTGGTTGCTCCAAGTGTGTGATTAGTGATTCCTAAGTTTGCTTAACGTGTAATTATTATTTAATTACAGATTATTTGCTCTCACGTTGTTTGATTTCAGGTACAGATACTCGGAATGTACTGTAATATAAGACCTAGACATTGTCATTTGCGTAAAAATTGTTCTACTTCTCTCATTGGATCTTGCAATTATTCGATATGAAATTTGTTTAACTTATGATAAATTAATCACATAATAAAGACGATAATATGGGATATTTGTATGACAATATGAGCCATAATCTTTTTCTATATAAACAAATATTCAAATATGAGATTCGCATACTTTTGTGAAAGTGAATGGAATTTTCAAAACAATATGTATGAGAAATTACAATAATGATATTAATTAATAATTAATAATTATAATTAAGAAAGGAGAGAATTGAAAAACCTGGGCAAGCCCGTTTCGCTAACCACGCAACCCCTCCTTACCCTTTTTTTCCTTCCTCCTCGCCCTTTCACTCACTCTCTCTCTCTCCGCGAAAGCTTTCCTTTCCATAGCCAAATCGAAGAACCATCGACGAGATCTCTGCCAAATCTCTCCAAAACCCTGTCTCTCTCTCTCTCTCTCTTCTCGGTTCGTTTGCTCCTTGCGTGTCGCGTGTTCGAAGTTCTTGATTGAATCCCGCCATGGCCGAAGGGAAGTTCGATCTGCCTGACGATCTGATCTTATCGAAATCGTCTGATCAGTTGAAAGGTAGCTTTTCCCTCTCCATCCTCTTCATCCCTCCGCCGTATCTTTTCGACTACTTCTCATGTTTGAGTTTTTTGTTCGTCTTGCTCGGTTTGAATGGGTGAAGTATCGATGCAATCTGATGGGTTTCGGATCTGAACTGAATTCCATAGTACGCGGCGGATGTCTCCCAGATTTGGCTAAATGTTGACCTAATTTGTTCTGCTTAGGGTTTGCCTTTTTCCTTCATCGTGTAAACCTAGCGTCGTTTACCTTGATATTCGTGCGTCTGAGTCCGCCCGGATGCACTTGGTTTCTGCCGCGTGCTTCGATTAGTACCCGTTAGATTTTGAATCTTGTCAGAAATTCCATAGTAGGGCAACGGTGATTTGTGTTTGTGATTCCGACTTGGGTTATAGGGTTTGTCTGACTTGGAATCTGTTTGGTCTATCTGATTTTCTTTGATTTCCTCCACCCTAAATCTGTTCTTTTTTATGCCCGCAGATCAATTGGTTTCCGAAAACAGCATACCCTTGTCTCCTCAGTGGCTTTACACTAGGCCAAGCGAGAGCAGGATGGTAATACTGATCAAAGGCCTATTACCTTTTCTCTTGTCATTTTCAGCTTGTACTGTTGGAAGTATGCTCCAGGTCTAATAGGGCATACTTCCTAGTGTTGGAATGTTGCACTTTACTTGTTGTAGACCATGTATCAGTTTTGGGAGTTTCTAGATTTTAGATATGTGTTATTCTATCTTTGTGTAATTATCTGATCCTTTAGTTTATTTTCCTCTCTTCTGATATTCTTTGCACGTGATAGGATGTGCGATCTCCAACTCCTGTGCCCTTGGGAAACCCAAATGATCCAAATGCTAAGGAGGTATGGCGCTTGGATGGATCTGAGGACAAGAGGGATTGGAGGAAGACTGTGCCTGAGAGTGAAACAACCCGGAGATGGCGTGAAGAGGAAAGAGAAACTGGCTTACTTGGTCCTAGGAGGGATCGCAGGAAAACAGAACGCCGCATTGATAATGTCTTGGGCAGAGAAACCAATGAAAGCAAAAACACTGCTTCTTCTGATAGGTGGCATGAGGTTAATGCTCGTGCTGCTGTACATGAATCTCGGCGCGATGGAAAATGGTCGTCTAGGTGGGGTCCTGAAGAGAAAGAGAAGGAATCCCGTAGTGAGAAGAAGATAGATATGGACAAGGAGAAGGAGAAGGAAGAGGTCCAGAATGAAAGCCAGTCTTTGGTCAACAGTGTCCGTACAACTTCTGAACGTGACCATGATGCTCGTGACAAATGGAGACCACGTCATAGAATGGAGTCTCAGTCTGGTGGGCCGAATTCTTATCGTGCTGCGCCCGGATTTGGACTCGATAGAGGACGAACTGAAGGCCCAAATTTAGGATTCACTGTTGGCCGAGGAAGGTCATCTGCAATTGGGAGAGGTTCTTCAATTGGTGTTTCTGCATTGTTTATGAATGAAAATATCCCTGGGAAACCATCCCCATCGGCTTATATATTTCAGTACCCAAGGGGTAAGCTGCTTGACATGTATAGGAGACAGAAGCTTGATCCATCCTTCGAGAGGGTGCCTCTTGATATGGAGGAAGTTGCCCCTTTAACTCAAGTTTGTTTGACTGAACCACTTGCTTTTATTGCACCGGATGCTGAGGAGGAGGTACACATTCTATCTCTGCTATCATTGCATTATTATTCATCGTTATTTTTCTTTTCTTTTTATATCTGGCTCTCTTTCTGTGTGTTGATGAACGTCTTGTTCTATTAGGCAAGCCTTAGTGACATATGGAAGGGCAAGATCATCAGTAGTGAAGTTCACGGTTCTTTTGGACAAGAATCATTTGGCGAAAACAATTTGGGTTTGTTATTCTGGCTTTTAGTTGTTTTCCTTCCGTCTTTCAGATCTTGCATAATTTTGAAGATGTTTATTTGATCTTGGACTTTTTGGATGTTACTCCAGTGAATCATGGCATCCTTTCTTCAGGGGAGACAAAAGAGGCAGAGGATGCGTTTGTTGGGGTTGTGAATGATAACAATGGTGCTGTGCATGACAATGTTTCAGGTAGGCACATATAGATGCTAACTTGTGTTTTTTATATCAATCATTTTCAGAAGAGGTTTTTTGAGTTTGCAGTTCAAACGACTAATTTTGCAGGGTTACTCCCCAATGGAGGTGCCAGGGGTGCTTCAAGTTCCCAGGGATTGAATCCAGTGGCATCTAAAACTAATGGATATGGCACCGGTCCTGAAATGGTTAGCTCTGCTTTTGCTAGATCTTCCGTGTTGGATGAAAGGGAATACAGTACTTCTTTTGATGCCAGATGCAAACTTCCAGATGATTCGGGCTCCCTCTTCGTTCCTGCTTCTCTTGAGCAAGATTATACACGCAAGATGCAGCAACCAGACGATGATATGGAGGGAAAATACTTGGAAAAGGCTACCCCACCTGAGGAGATAATGTTGTTCTATATTGATCCGCAGGGGGATATTCAGGGACCGTTCCCTGATTCTGACATTATTTTATGGTTTGGACAAGGTTTTTTTGGGCCAGACCTACAAGTCCGCTTGGCAGGTGCTCCGGAAAAAACTCCTTTTCGAGATTTGGGCGAGTTCTTGCCATATTTGATGGTAAAGGGTGCTCATGCCAAGTGTAGTGATCCGAAGGATAGGCTAGAAGAGACTGGTCTGGAAGTAAATCTGGAGCCCGGTTTATCAGCTGCTCCTGCAGCTGAAACTACTGACATATTGCCAGTAAACAATCGGTCTCATTCGTTTTCTGGGTTTAATGATGTCTCCGCTGAGAATAGTTTTCAGAGAAAGTCTGAGCCAGAAGTTTATGGAAAACTACCACATTCTGAGGACAGAAGTTTCCTTGACTTCTCTACCCAAGATGAAGGTTTGTTATACTTCTAACCAACGCCTACACTTTCTGTGTTTCTATATCTTTGTTGTGATGCGAATATTCCTTTGTGTATGTGTATACTGTGTATAGCTAGTAAGTACCTGTTTCTGTTATGTATATATTGTGCGTCCATGTGTCTAATATCATCTTGGATTTCGTATTTCTGTATATAAGCTTTTGTGCTTTGTCATTGTATGTTATGGCTAAAGGTTATTTTGTTTTTCTTTGGTTAGAAATTGTGTTCCCAGGACGAACGGGAAGTACTAGCTATGCAAATATTCATGATAATTCGGCCAGTGCTGTTGGGCATCCTACCATTCCCATTGAAACAGCTGAGGCTGGTGTTCGGAATCAGAACCAGAATAAGTTGCATCCGTTTGGTGTGTTATGGTCTGAGCTTGAGAGCACAAATGCTTCAGTCAACCAGTTACCAAACAGGCCGAACGGTGCATTGGCTGAGCCTGCCGGTGTAATGGAGTCTTGGTCCAATACTTCCCGGAAAAATACTCAAATAGAGCCCAACATGTCTTTGGATGCTCTGGCTGCTAGCCGTATGTCACGGTTGGAACAGGAATCAAATCGTTTTGATCTTGTGGGTTCGTTTACGTCAAATCAGCACCACCAACAGCCGTTCCTAAATCGGAATATGTTGTCACAAGCGCACCTGACTGAACCGGTTTTGGATCGAATTCATGGCCAGAATCCAGTTCACCGTCAGCATTTTCCTGACAATCATGTCCAGGATTTGGAGCATATGTTAACTCTCCAGTTACAGCAGCACCAGAAGAAGATTCAGATGCATCAACATCAGCATCAGCTGCAACAGCAACAGCAACAGCTGCAACAGGAGCATCAGTTACATCAGAAACTGTTACAAGAGCAACAACAACAATCTCATGCTCGACAACTTCTTCTCCAGCAGTTTATGCAAGGACAAACTCCGGACCCAAGGTTCGGGCACTCACATGTTGATTTTCCCCGAGCCAACAATGTTATCGATCAGATTTTGTTAGAGCAGCAAATTCTGCATGATATGCAGCAAGGTCCTGGCCATCCGTCGCGACATTTTGGGCCATCCATTGAGCAACTTGCCGCAGGAAACTTTGGGCAGTTGCCTCAAGAAGACCATCAAAGAGAGCTGCTTGAACATCTGATTTCAACAAAACTGCAGTCTCAGCAACATGATCAACTGAGGGCTTTGGAGTATCAGATGCTGCAGCAAGAGCAGGTGATGCAATCTTCAAAAGGAACGAGGCACAATTCTTTTTTGGAGGAACAGAGACATATTGATCCTCTTTGGCCATCTGATGAAGGTGATCAGCTTCTCAGAACTCATTCTGGGTTACACCGATCGCATTCTTCTGGGATCAGGCCGTTAGATTATCATCAGCAGCAACTGAGGCCACCATTTGAGGAGCATTCGGGTCAGCTTGATCGGAATCTTTCATTGCAGGAAAACCTTCGACAAGGATTATTCGAGCAGGGATCTCTTCCATTTGACCGAGCGGCGTCCTTACCTGTAAACGCGTCAGGACTGAATCTAGATGCTGTTAATGCTCTTAGGCTTGCTCACGGTCTGGAGATGCAGGATCCTACTGCCCACATGCAAGCTGCAGGTGGATTGGGAAGATTTACCCCGGATTTCCACCTTCAGAATCCTCATAATCCTTTAGCTCAGTCACATTTAACACAGCTGGAAACAATGGGAGGACGCTGGTCTGAAGCTGACACGCAGCTAACAGGTGATTGGGCAGAATCTCAATTTAGGAGATTGCATATTGACTCTGAACAACAAAAAATGAGGTCGGAATTTAGGAGGGCGAGTGAAGACCCTAACTCATGGATGTCAGAGGGATCTACCGAAGACAAGTCAAAGCGTCTTTTGATGGACTTGCTCCACCAGAGGCCAGGTCATCAGTCTTTCGACTTGCCAGACATGAACCGTAGAGACCCATATGATAGAATGGCTCCTTCAGGCCTTATCACGGGATCAAGCGCATCAGTCCATCCTTTCGGTGGTCTTTCAGACCATGGATCAAGTCTGAATTTTTCATCTGCTATGGGGACTCATCATGCTATTCCCGATGAACAGTTAAACAGGCTACAGAGGGACGGGGATTATCTGATGAGGTCCGAACTGGGATCCATGCACCGTAGTAATTCCTTACGTTCTGTAAATATGGACGGTGGTCAGTCAACTCATAGTGATTCTCGAGGGTTTGATATGTTTGGTATGAACAAGGATTCAAATGATATGAGAGGTTGGAACAATGTGTCGAGGAACGAGGGAATGGGAAGGATGAGATATGACAGTCAAGACGGAATGGGCAGGCAAGCGGGATTCGACCCTTTGGGTCAAGGAGAGCTTCCAGCAGGTGAGTGGTGATTATTTCTTTTTACAGCTTCTGTTTCTTAAAAAGCTTTCAATTGTTTTCGATGCTTTGGTTCAAGGGGATCTCCGCCTTGTGTTTTAATATAAGAGGCTCTCATACAGAGTGATACTTTCATGGTGACAGGTCCATACGGAGACAGAGCTGGCATACATAACTTGATGGGAGAAGATAGAAGAAAGGATCGGTAAGTTTGGATTCTTGCAGTTCGGAATTTGATGAAACCTTCGGGGTTAGCCCCGAGTTATTAGTAGTGTGTATTTTTACTCTAATCGTTTTACCGAGGGGTGTGTGTGTGTGTGTGGTGTAGAGTGGTAGTTCCGTCGCACGGTCATAACGCGGTGTTGCTGAAAAGGCCACCGTCGTCACATTCATCGTCGTCGCACGAAGGGACATCTGAAACAGCAGCAGCAGCAGCAAACCGGGCAGCGATATCGTCGAGCAGTGGTGGCATGGAAGGAGGAATCAAATCGTCGAGCAGTGGTGGCATGGAAGGAGGTATCAAGCAGGAGATGACTAGGGAGGCGGCAGGGTCGTCGTCGTTCAGCGACATGTTGAAGAGTAACGTGAAGAATCCTTTGACCGAGCAGAATCTGTCGGAGGTGGGGGCCAAAGGAGGAGGAGGGGGGAAGAAGAAAGGGAAGAAGGGGAGGCAGATCGATCCGTCCCTCCTCGGCTTCAAAGTGTCCAGCAATCGCATCCTGATGGGCGACATTCACCGGCCCGACGACTGATGGTTTCCCTTTCTGCTCCCTTGTTGTAAATCTCTTCTTGTGCTTTTGCTTGAAATCTTTTCTTGTAAATCTCTTTTTATTCCAGTGAGGTTTTGGTTTCTTCTTCTACTCTCAGTCTTCTCTGTTTACACACCACACCACACCCTTCCCTTCGGAATTTGAGACAATTTTAAAGTGACTTGCTTCAGAGAGTAAATAAAGGCCTTTCCTTTGAATGCCGCAGGTACAAATCAATGAGTTTCTCAGGAAACACATGAGATGCGGACTAGTGGTCCAGGCTGAGGTCTCCCCACCGGACATTGTACCTGGCGGCGAGGTAGTGGGCCCCGACTGGACCCCGGCTCCCATAAGGATAGTTTTCAGGTATTGTTTTCTTCTCTTCTAGCTCTTTCAGCACCGGCGTGAAGAGTGACCATGCGGCATCAAGCTCGTCGCTTCTTATAAACAACCTTCGTTCTCCTTCGATCGCGTCCAACAGAAGCCAACTGTCGACACACGACCAAAACAAGAGGAAAAAATGGAGATTCGAGGCGATTTGGCTGTTGAAGTAAAGCCAAGAACATAGATTTATGGAAACGGATGTTGATATGATAATGTTTTTTTTTTTTTGTAACTTTACCTTGCGGAATAGAGAAGATTCAGGTTGCTTCGATCTAATCTCATTCCCAAACCCGGGACCTTGTTGTTGATCTTCAAATAAATGGCTTCATCTGGCTGGACTCGGATAACAAGCTCGTTTGTAGCCCGATCGAGATCAGTCCTGAAGTTCTGATTATACAAATTTCCGGGCACATGCCTGAATTGCACCCTTATCTCCGCCCTGTAAAAAACCGATGTAAGTTTTACTCATTAAACATGCAAATCGGTCGAAAGAGTTTGATATGAAGATTTGCAAGTTTTCTACGAGTTAGGTACCCTCTAGTGTTCAATGCTTTCCCAGCTTTCATTAGGAAAGGCACACCGTCCCATCTCGGGTTGTCGATGAAGAGAGCAGCCGCTGCAAATGTCGGTGTCAAACTGTCTTTCGGGACGGTTTTATCATCGGTATAGCCGGGATAGGTAACTCCTCCCTTGGTATGGCTCTTGTATTGCCCTATCACCACATCTTCAAGCCTTATCGGCCTCATAGAACGAAGAACCTTAACCTGAATCAACACAAGAAACCCGTAAACATTTCTTGGACCACCCGAAGATGGAGTTTTTTTTTTAAAGAGAAGGGCAAAAAAAAAGTCGGGACCTTTTCGTTCCTAATATCTTCCGCGTCCAAACTAACAGGCGTTTCCATGGCAAAGAGAGCTAATATCTGAAGCAGATGATTCTGCATTATGTCCCTTATAATTCCATAATGATCAAAGTACCTGAAAATCGAATGGAAGAAAAGCCGAAAGGAAGAATGTCAGAAACATAAGGCAGTAGATTCAGAAGAAGAAATCGAGAGGCAGCAAAAGGAAGCCGGGTTTTTCTTACCCTCCACGCCCTTCAGTACCAAAATCCTCGGAGAATATCAATTGTACATTCCTTATATACTGCCTCGACCACAGCGGTTCAAATATAAGGTTTGAGAATCGAAGAACTGATAAGTTCTCGACTAGTTCTTTCCCCAAGTAATGGTCTATCCTGTAAAAAGGAACAAATTTGTCATCTCATATGCATATATATGAATCATATACAAGCTCCTTCACAATGATAAAAAAAAATCAAGTTAAGGATCTCTACCTAAAAATCTGATCTTCTTCCAGGTACTGCTTAAGGGATTTTGTTAAAGCAGCCGAGGTTTCGGAATCTCTACCAAAGGGTTTCTCGACAATAACCCTAGTCCAGCCATTGATAGATGAAGCAGAAGAGCTTGCACATTTGACTGCATCCACAAATATATTCGGAGGTATTGATAGATAAAACAGCCGATTCGAAACTCTTCCACCCTGCAAAACAATCATGTTACCGTTAAGATCACCGGAGAAAATTACGATAAGCCAACCCCAAACACTCTGAAAGTCGTATTGGTTTCGGGTACGGTCGTATTTTCCCGATCTCCCGTACTCGTGTCACATTTTACATCATGTCATGGAGAGAGGTAATAGACACATGGATTAAAAAAACATCGCTTGATAAGCAAACCTCATGTTCTTTGAGCTTCTTGTCCAATTCTGTGAAATGTTGTTGAGAATCATATTGACCAGAATGGTAGAAACATCTCTTGAGAAACTCTTCCATCTTTTCGCCGCAGTTTTCCCTGAAGTTCCGGATGAAAGGATGGCGTTATAATCTCGAATGAACCCACCATTGGAATTCTTGAAATTCGGCCCAAACTAATCGCTCACCTCTTATCGATTCTGCAGGTCAGAGTTTTGCTGACCATGCTCCTAAGTTCTGCATCTGTCATCTTGCTCCGAGCATAGCCGTATATCGTAAAATGCTGCCGTACAGAAACCAGAAATGTCATTCGCATTTGCTGCATTAACACAGAAACCGTCCAAAACGCAAGAAAAATCGATACCTCGGGAAGACAGTCTTCGTAATGAAGCGCGAAAAGGGCGGGGAATATCTTCTTCTTGGCAAGATCACCCGAGGCTCCGACCACCGTGATGCTAACGGTTGAGTGATTTTTATCATCGGAATCTGCCGAAACCTTTACTGATTCTTCAGATGGAATCGATAATAACCCATCTCTCAATCCTTTCAGAGCAGTTTTAACTTCTGCCGGGCTTGATTTAGTAACCACTGCACCAGAAATTAATTCAACTTCTCGCATTAGAGACTTGGAGCAGATTCCTCCGCCATTTTATTTGGCTGCTGATGAAATTATACACATCACGGATACAGAAAATGCTCCAAAGCATTCGATATTGCTACGAGTGCACATTCGCACATTAAGATCCAATTGCATCAACATTTAATTGCTGATCAAGCTTCGATCAAACACTAAATCGATCGAACACTTATATCAAACTCCATTTCCAAGCTTAAATTCATCAACCTAAAGAAAAGAAAAAGCAACAAGCTTCTGCTAATCTTCAGGTTCAGGACATAGAGAAACCAGTCAGAAACTAACCATCTTGCATGACGACAGCACACCCACCGGAATTTTTCCGCGATCTAACACGGAGCTCATCGAGACGCAACACATGACTGAGAGAAGACGAGAACGACAAGCACCGATATTGTTTGATCGGCGAAGAACAATTCGACAAGAAAGAAGAAGCCGAATTGCCGGAAGGATAGGATCGGCAACTCGCCGAGGGAGCCAAAGACGCCATTTTTACCGTGTTTCCGGACACAGACGGATCAAAAGGAGACAGATTCAGGGGAAGGAGACAGAAACCGAAGATGGGTTTGGCAGAAGACGAAGTGGGTAAAAATGGGCAAGAGACAATTTGGCTTATAAGAAGATCTTAGGAAACGTCGAAGGGGTTAGGGCATTGTGAGATGATGATAAAAGGACCCTTTGAGATCTCTGAAAGGTTGTCTCGTCTCGTCGCCAAAACAGAACAGAGAGGGTGTGCTGCGTAGGTGCGTGAAGGGCTAATGGAGGAATATTCAATTCAGTTCAATTAAACAAAATTCCAACTGGACTTTGCTTCCACTCTTTTCTTTTTATTTCAGAAACAATATTAACGTAAGTAGATCCATTTGATCTGTAATATTTCCCACGTGACTAATATGGATTATGGTGCATTGGTGGTGCAGAAGACAACATGAAACCGTTGTTTGATTGATGAGAAATGCCCACATATCTGCAAATTCTTGTTCTTGCTTGACAAATTTTTATTTGAATCAATGGATAATTGAAAATACGAGGTGGCGATGATTCCCTGTGATACGGTTCATTATAATTACAGTGAATAGTGGGTGAGGATGTTTATTTTTATTTTAGGATTAGAGATTTCATTTTTTTAAAGAAAAAAAAAAGTGGGTGAGAATGTTTGCAGTTGCGTGTTCCTTTTTTTTCAACAAGAAAAAGGCATGATGCGCAAGAGTTGAGAATGTTTTGGGCTTTAGATCCCTTATGGGCTTAACCATTTGGCCCATGGAAACTAAATGGGCCTTTCTCTCTTTGGGCCCAAACAGACACCAACAAAAAAGTCAAAGATCTTTTACACACTAGAAAAATTATGATAAAGTAGAGGATATTTACTAAATTTATAACTAATTAGTATTCATGTGGCCCTTCCATAATAGTAAATAATTAAATAATATATATCTACTTGTATAAGCCCCCTATGTAATTAACCAGAATCTTGAATATTACTATCTCATGGTTATAACAACCTCTAGTTGTACGTACATGTATTTGATTCAATATATAAATTGCTGCTATTTTTTATTCTAAAGGGGGACATGATATGCTATGATATGAGGCTGCGGGCGAAGAAATAAAGACATCGTTGTCAAAGAAGGCGTGCATCCTTTAATTTATTTTTGTCTCATTGGACCAGAAATTGGAATATTCAAACTTAGATTATAAAATCCTATACGTAATTATTTTTCCTTGAATGGTCAAATAAGCACGGACTATCAATAGCAAACGGCGAGCTGCTTTGACATTTAGTAACACCCTTTCCCTTTTTTTCCCATCAATTTTTTTTTTTAATGCGTCGATTAATTGAATAACTAATAACCATTCAATATAACACCTAACTATTTTAAAATTGGTTTCTTATCTAAAATATAAAAAAGATCATGAATTAAGATTTTTTTTTAAACTAACGGGGTCTTAATTGAAATCAAATTAAATATAAAAATAATTTTTGAAAAGTATGGAAAGGAAACTTTTAAAATATTTTTATTAATAAAAAATAATTCAATTTAGTTTTTTTTTTTAAAAAAAAAAGAAGATAAAAAGCGCTATAAATATACTATATATATATATATTATATATATTACAAAAATAAAAAAAAACTTAAATTTTAATTAATTAATTAGTGTTGATTTAGCCTGCCAAATTAAAGACAATTCCGCCTGCAACTTGGAAATTATACACACACACACACACTCCGTTCTAGAAAGATATGAACGAAGATATTTTTCACAGATTAGAATATTTTTTTCGAGTAAGTAAAATGTATCGTATGTTATTTACTTTGAAATGGTAAAATTAGAACGAGTAATTAATCGCTATGTCGCATCACCAACCACTCCCTCTCTCTCTCTCCTCTCATCCTTTTGGAATAAATTAGCAGTTACTTATCTTTAATACTATATATACACGTGTATATATACACCTATAAGATACCTATGTATAGGAATATATAAGCACACACACATATATATACACACATATTCATATGTATATGTAGTTCTTACGTGCCGTCTACGACACTTGGTGGGGTTTCTAAGAGCCTTCTTTAAAACTTTGTATAGCATCGGGCCGCCTCTTCGTTTTGACTTCACAGTCATGGAATTTTTTTTTAAACCAGTCATGGAATTTTTTGGTCCGTCTATATATATATATATATAACGATATCATGTATTGATACTTTCATTAATTAATATCTATCTATCTTATCTCTCTCTCTCTCTATATATCTATGCATTGAGACGTACCAACAAGATCTTCTTGGAATACAAGAAATATAAATATATTTGTCATGGAAGGCTATGATGACAGCAATCCGTCCTACGCTCAGTTTTTATCGTTGAAACCCGATAATTCGATATCGATGATGTTCGATCGGGATGGTGATGATGATGATGATGAAGATCATTATGATGATGGTACGAAGGTTGTAGAAGAACCTAGAAGGTTCTTGAAGATGAAGAAGAAGAAGAAGGTGAGGGAACATAGATATGCTTTTCAGACAAGAAGCCAAGTGGATATACTTGATGATGGTTATCGATGGAGAAAATATGGCCAGAAATCCGTCAAGAACAACAAGTTCCCAAGGTCTGTGATCTCTTTTAATTATCTTTTTCCTTTTTCTGATTTATTGTTTTTTTAACTTTTTATTGAGATTCGGATCCAGAAATTATTGAAAAGATGAAATTGGGGTTTTGTTAACGCACGAACATGTTTTGTTTCTATCGGAATTAGATTATATATGGAATATATTAGAGTTTTATTTATATGAATTAGGTTTGGATCCAGTGAAAAAACATAGACGTAATTAGGTTATATATAATATTAATCGGAGCGCAAATGGTTATATATATATATATATATATATAGCTTTACAAGTAATTTTTTTTATTTATCTATATCTCGTTCATGTGTATATATATATATATATATATATATGTGTGTGTGCAGGAGTTACTATAGATGCACATTCAAAGGATGCAACGTGAAGAAGCAAGTACAGAGACTGAGCACGGACGAAGGGGTCGTTGTGACAACCTACGAAGGAGTTCACTCCCATCCGATCGAAAAATCCACCGACAACTTCGAACACATTTTGACCCAAATGCAAATCTACGCTTCTTATTGATTAATCCTCCTCAAACTCTATAATTAAACAGTTTATAAAAATATAAAATGAACTATATATATATGTAGATAGTGTGTTGTAAATTAGATGCCCACGCACGCATGTGTTGATTAAATAACACCTGCGAAAATCTAGAGGTGCGTATGGATTATTTTTTTGTTTGTTTTGTTTTTACAATACATGTATGCGAGTCTATTTGCAAATTGCAATAATTCGTGTTTGGATATTCGAAATTTCGTCTAATAATCATAATGTGTATATACTGTTAACATGATCGATGGTATCCAATTAGGGGTGGACGTTTCGGGAAACGGTTCGGGTTCGGGACGGAATGAACCGATTCGGTTCTTTCGGTTTTACAAAAATAGGTATCAATCGGATTTTTTATTGTATTCGGTTCGGTTCGGTTTCGGTATCGGTTCGGTTCGGTTCTGGGTTTTATTAAAAAAATGATAGATTTTCTTTAAAAATATTCGGTTTTTCGGGGTTTTTAAAGTTCGGTTCGGTTCCGAAAAAATTTGGTTTTTTAAAAATGATACTGTTCGAAAAATAACATCAGTTAACCAAACCTAAACGTCCAGCCCTATATCCAATGGACCATATTGGATTGTGTTTTTAAATAGATATCTAAAATTGAATCAAATAACTGAATTCGAACTAAACTAGATTGATTATGATTTTTTTATTAAAAAAATCGAATTCAAATTTAATTAGAATAAATATAATTAATACAAATGGATATTTTTTTTTATTAAGACTGGATATAAACTGAATTCGAATAAAAAATAGGCTGAATTAAAATTTTATATAAATTAAGATCAAATAAACATAATTTAAAAAATTAAAAACGTTAACACGAATTTAACCGGGGCATTATCAAAAATACCCTTAAAATGCTACTTCTACTTCAAGACCTACCCTGGTCACATGTGACCAATGTGACCGAAATATAGTATGGTCACATTTTGATTTTTATCGATTATAACGTTAAATTTATGGTGATCACACTAATTCATTATGTTCATACATTGTATATCTTACTAATCATTTGATTAAAACATCATAAATTTAACGTTATGAACAATGAGATCAATATGTGACCACACTATATTTCGGTCACATTGGTCACATGGTCACAAGGGTAGGTGTTGAAATAGAAGTAGCATTTTAAGGGTATTTTTGATATAATGCCAATTTAACCATTGTCAGGTATTTAAGGGCAATGTTCTTACACTGCAAAACAAATATTATATATATGGACATATGTATAATATATGGTTTTACTTAATAGGCATTACATTTTCCATATTTCGTTACATCTTTCCAAAATTGACTTATATACGTACACTAATGGCATATAGTAGATATTTCCTTGTTGTGGCCAAAGTTATATTATTAGTTTTCGTTTTAACAATAACCAATATCTCAGCCAATTTTAAGACAGATTTGACGATCAATAACCATTATATATTATAACATTGGCCATGGCAAGTACATACATATCCTCATTAACAAAAAAAAAAGGTATATACATATCCTAAATTCATTGATGTCGCATAGTGATGTCAAACGGGTCGGCTTGGACGAGTTCGGACCAACTCTTTAGAGCCAGCTCGTTTTCAGTCCAGTTCGTTAACCCCGTTTTTATTCGGGTCAAAAACTTTTTGGTTCGATTCAAATCGTTCTAACTCGCGAACTGACTCACGAGCCGAATAAAAATAATAAAAAATATTAAATATAATTTAAAAATATCAAAATAATAATTAAAAGTAATTATTAATATATTTAAAAATAATAAAAAATTATTTAAAATTGATAAATCGGAGTCAGCTCGTGGGTTTGGCGAGCTGGTTTGGCTCGTGACGAGCTGGGGCGTTCAGTCCGTTTTTATTCGGATTCAAATTTTCTTGGCCTAGATCGAGACAATATGGGTCGGCTCGTGAGCTGAGCTCATTTTGACATCCCTAATGTCGCATGGACCGACGATGATAGTGCCATATATTTTAGAAGATAGAGTTTGCTGTTATAAAATCAGAAGAAATATTAACGACCCGAATGTTAGTTCGTTAACTATAAACCGAAAACTGTATTTAGGAGAATGGATAACAAGTTTATTTCTTATTTCTCTCTTTTAAAAGTGTACAAATGAAGGAATTCAAATAGCATATTTATAGAAATTCTGAAGTTATTATTCACGTATACGGTCGGCAGTAGCGGACCCAAAACATTTTAAGAATGAGATCACTAATATATATACATATAAATAAATTTATAAGTATAAACTTAATTTTATTGGGGGCTCTACAATAATTTTACATAAAATTATATAAAATTTATGAAGAAAACAAAAAAAAATTCTACAACTAGTGGGGGCTTGTGATCCCACTATGGATCAAGTGGGTCCGCCCATAACGATCGCTTTGAATAATAACTGTATATATAAACATTAAGTCGATATGAATAGTAATATGTTTTATTTATAATATTTGCTATTTTATTTTTTATTTTTTATTTTTTCCAGAAATCTAAAATCCCCGTATTAAAAAAGAAGTCTCCAAACTGGAAACAACTCGATTATTGAATAAGAGAACGAATTTTATTAGATTTTTTAATTAATGTTTATATCATTTGAATAAGATTTTATGGTCGTTTATTTTTCAAATATTATTTAGATTCGAATTTTATCTTTGAATTACTGTTGTGTGAATTTGTAAAATATTTTTAGGTGAATAAAGAAAGTATCGGAGAGGTTCTTTGTTCGATCTTCTCATGTGCCTTCCTTCCTTCATCTCATCTTAGCCTCTCGCGGTTCAAGCTCTGAGCTCCGAGTTTTCCTCGCTGACCATGGCTCTTCCGCTCGGGAAGCTGATCCTCCTCGTCGGCGCGGGTCCGTACATTCATGGGGTTTTCTCTTGTATTAGTTACTATGGCTGAGCCTTTGTTCAAATTCGTCTCGGTTTCGGTTCGAATTTTTCGGTTGGGTATCCTGATAAGCGGGAGATGAATTAGGGCTTTTGGTAAAACCCTTGATTCATGTGGAAAAATCAGTGTCTTTGATCCGTTCTCAGTTATTCACTGTTCGTCTGTTGGGCTTTCACGGTGATCGATGTTTAGCGTACTTGATTCAGATTAGATTATTTCCGAATTGATTTTAACTTCGTTTCAAAACATCTGGATTCTGGGTATTAAGTATATACGTAAATGTATCATAATAGATGATGATTCTAGTTGCATGGACGGGTCTTTACCGCTTCGTTTAAGTCGAAAATGTCGGTTTCTGATTTCCGTGTGTATGTGTTTGTGATGATTATCTTCTACTCATCGCTTGTCTGATTGCTTTTTTTTTTTGTTATTTCTTTGTGTATTGATGCTTACACTTCATTTTAGCATACCAAAGTATGTTTTTTTTATGTTTCTTCAGGTCTTGTTGGCTCAGTTATTGCTAAAGAAGGTTTCTCAGATGTTTCAAGTTTCGTTTCGGGTGCATTCAGGGTATTCTACTGAACTGGTTGAATATGAATCCGTTTCATTTAGTTTGAAGAATGAATTTATGCTCAACTTAGATCAAATCTCGAGATTTTCATTGTTGATGGGTGTGAACGTTACAGTGACTTTGTTGTAGCGTACGCTCATCATCTCGGGTTCTCTCTTTTATCCTATTTCATACGTGTTTTGAAGCTTGAACATGTAATGCAGTTCATCATAGTGTCATAATGGTTTCTCTTCTCTTGACAACTTGTGTTCAGGCAATTAAAACAAGACGAACCGGCCAAATCAGCTAAGATGCCCTTTTGGCACAGGTTTAGTTTCAGTATTGACCTAATTGTTGGTGACATATTCTATTCGATGGTTGTAAGACTCGTTGAATGGCTCGAGCTTATATCCTTCTGAATTCCGAATCATGTTTTTGTTTATTATAATGATATTGTTTACTCACTCCTCTGAGATACTCTCTTCTATAGGTTAGCAGCCTGAGGCAGGAGTTGCAGTTGATAGCATCAAACAGATCTATTACCATTATTTCTATGGGTGGATCAGGTCTCTTCAATTCCTGCTTTTACGTCGGAGGAATTATTTTCCTCTTATGCACTACTTATGACCTAGAGGTCATGGATTCGAGTCCTGGAAGCAGCCTTTTGTAGAATATTCTGCAAGGTAAAGTTTGTCTATAATACACCCTTGTGGTGGGACCTTTCCCCGGACCCCCGCTCAATGGGATGCTTTGTGCATCGGGTTGCCCTTTTTTTTCTGCACTACTTATGAGCTCAATATGTGTCATAGAAACTTAGTACTTTGATCTTTAATGTTTATTTCCATTTTCTCGGCAGATTTTGGATGCGTCTTTTGAAATTTTATCTTGTTATGACACGCCTTTAGGATCGTGTCTGTAACTTTGTTTTATCGCCCATGGAATTCTCTTGCCCGCAGCTTCAATGATTGCTTACTGCTTGCTTTTCTCTGGAATGGCTTCAACAGTTTCCCTCGAATTTGCAGGTGGTAGAAAGTACGGAGTAATGATTATCATCGTAGTGTTAGGCTGTGGATACTTGCGGTGGAAGGTAATATCATCACGGTATTGAACGTTGGCTTGAAGTGTTGGTCACTGAACAAAAATTTAGAAAAATTCAATTTCTCCTCGTGGGTTTTCTTTGCTGATCTTGTGGTCTGCTTCATGTTATTATCTTCTCCATTTGCAACTCGTTGGATATTAATTTTCTCGGGAATGTTGTCAGGGATGGAAAACTCCGGATTTTATGTTTGCAACAAGGCATAGTTGATTCGATGCATGTAATACTATAGCCAAACAGCTTGACGGTGTCTACTCCTCGATCTCGGTAATCTCTTCATACCCTATTTCTTCTCTAGCCTCTTATGGTGTCACTGAACTCTGTTTTTTTATGGTTTCTTTCTTGTTTCCACTACCACGTTTATCAAAAGATCCGATCTTTAAACCTTTTTATTGCATCGTTTTATTACTCTATTTCGGTCTACATCGTGTCAGGCTACAAAACGGGAGTTATCTTCAAGAATTGAGAGTGGGCTCTAGCTTAGACGAAATTGAAGGGATTACTAAAGAAACAGGAAAAGAGGTAAATTTCACATGAGATCTACTCTATAGATTCACTCTATCATCAATGATGCTTGAGGCTTGACTGAATTACGTGATGGCGCTGCAAGAATTACCATCTTGAGCAGACCGCATCATTGCCTCCTGCCCAGTCATCTTCAACTTCTAATGGATCCCACAAGGTTTGTTTAAATCTTTAACTAGAATCCCATCTCGCATCTTGTTGTCTGTATCGTTTCAACCCGGAAATTTCTCGTATTTTCCGGTTCAGGTTCTTTGTTCGATCTT